AGCAACTTTAGCTATTTGATCTACTAGTTTCTGTGAAAGATGTCAAAATCATTATGATGGTGGATTTGCCAATTTCTCTTTGTAAGTCTTTCAATTTTGCTTTATATTTTTGAGACCGTATTGTCATACAAAAGCTCAAAATTATATCCTTCTGGTAAAAATAAATCTCTATTGTCTCTATCACTAATAATGCAAATATATATATTTGCTCTGTTTTGGGTTTCTATTGGCTAGTTTGCTGGGTATGTCTGTCTTTCTTACATTTATCTCATGTTATGTTTGTGTTTCTTGAAAGGATTTTTAAAATGTTATCTAAAAATCTTTTTTTGTGATGAATTAGAGTCACTTATTCTGATTAGAGTTGTATTAGGATTTTTTTTATAATCACTGTGCTTTTCTATTGCATCTTTTTTCTCCTTCCCTGCTTTTTATTGGTCTAAATTAAACCTATATTTCTTTTTCTTTTATGTATTTGTGTGTGTGAGAGAGAGACAATCTCAGTCTGTTGTCCAGGTTGGAGTATAGTGGCGCCATCATAGCTCATTTTAACCCCGGACACCTGGGCTCAAGCTATCCTCCCATGTCAGTCTCCTGAGTAGCTAGGACTACAGGCATGTGCTACTATGCCCAGCTAAATTTCAAACTCTTTTAGAGATGGGGTCTCGCTGTGTTGCCCAGGCTGGTCTCTACCTGGCCTCAAGTGATCCTTCTACCTTGATCTCCCAAAGCACTGGGATTACAGGTATGAGCTACCACACCCAGCCATATATTACTTTTTCATTAATGGATTTCATCCCACCCTTTTTTAAATTATCAAAAATTTAATACATGCATAATTGACTTAAATATTCTTCAGTTAATTAGTAGCTCTTCTTACATTTCCCACATTATGAGAACTTTAGACTTCTTCATCCCCTTCAAACTTCCATGTCATTTTTTTACCCTGTGTTTAAGTTCCCTAAAATTAGTCATCTTGTTATTGTTGTATGCAAATAGGGCATGATTAGATTGACCCACATTTACCAGTTTTCTTGCTCACTGCTGCTTCTGGAAATCCTTCCTCCTAGATTCAATTTGCTTCTCACTGAAGTATATCCTTTAGTATTTCTTCAAGTGAGGATCTGTGATTGGAAACTCTTGACGTTTGTCTTAAAATATCTTTACTTCACACTTGCTCTTAGATGATAATTAGCTGGGTATAAAAGTTAGGTTGGCAATACTTTTGTCTGAGCACTTCGATGAAATTATTCAATAATCTATTCATCTCTTCCTGCTGAAGAAAAGTCTATTTTTACCTATTTCTGTCCTTTCAAAGATAACCTGTTTTAGTTTTTGTTGTTGTTGTTGTTTTTTAGGATTTTGCTTTGTCTTTTGGTGTTCTGCAATTTCAGTATAATCGGCGTAGATATAGATTATTTTTATTTATCTGGTTTGAGTCTCGTTTGGTGTTTTTTTAATCTGAAGATTTTGTGTCTCTTACTACAAATTCTGGAAAGATCTCAACTGTTCTTCTCCTTAAATATATATTGCTTCCACCGATACCCTAAACTCCATCATTTCTCAACTTCTGAAGATCATGACTGGTTTGCTTATCTTTTCTCTCTTCTGCATTTCCAGTCTCTCACCTATTGTATCAATTTCATCAACAAGTCAACTTGCCCCGATGTTTCCCATCTTTTAAAAAAGTCCTCCCTTGACTCCACGTCTCCCCTGAGCTATCCTATATCTCTGCTGAATATCATAGCCAGCCTTCCTAATAGAGGAGGTGCCCACATATTTCTCTACTTCCTTACCTTCTTCAGTTCAGTTGAGTCTTCTACCCTCAGCCATCCAAAGAGATTGCTCTTGCTAAGGTTGCTAATGACTTCCATGTATCTGAGTGAATATTTAAAAGTACTTATTTCATTGAACCTCTTAGCAGCATTCAACACAATTGACCATTCATTCCCTAAAACATTCTCCACCTCTTGGCTTCTGGAACACTTTGTTGGTTTTCTCTAAATGTTTGAACGCTGAGTGCTTGGGGATGAGCTCTCTTTTGTTTTCTGCTCCCTACCCTTAATATAGTCATGTGCTACATAACAATATTTAGGTCAATAGTGAACCACATATATCATGGTGAACCCATAAGATTATAATGGAGCTTCCCTATATAAGTGTACCATTTTTTATCCTTTATACTATATTTTTACTGTACCTTTTCTATGTTCAGATATGTTCAGATACATAAATCCTTACTGTTATGTAATAGTTGCCTACAGTATTTAGTAAAGTGACATGCTGTAGAGGTCTGTAGCCTAGGAGCGATAGGCCATACCATATAGCTTAGATGTGTAGTAGGCTCTACCATCTAGGTTGTGCAAGTACACCCTATGATGATCCCCCCCGCAGTGATGAAACCACCCAAGGATGCTTTTCTTAGAATGTATCTCCATCATTAAGTGATGCAAGACTATACTTTTTATTCATTCACACAATTTTAAATATCATCTATTCATCAGAGATGGTGAAATGTATACCCCTGGTCTTCACTCCTCCTCTGAGCTCTCAAATTATGAGTTCCCGCTTGACACTAACACTTGGATATCATAGCAGCATTTAACCCTAACTCATCTAAAATGGAATTGTTCACTTTCTCCCCAGAAGAGTGTCTTTCCCATCTCAGCAAATGGTATCATCATTTACCTAGTTCCTAAGCTAGAATCTCAGAGTCATTCTTGACTCCTCTCTCCCTCAAAGGCCCACACTTACTCTATTATCAGGTCCTGTAAATTCTGTCTTCAAAATATATCTCAAATTCATCCACTTTCCATCTCCACTGCCAGCATGCAGGTGTTAGACTCTATCATTGTTCAACTAGACTACAACATAGTTTTCATATCTATTCCACTATTAACACCCTCCCATTCATTTTCAACACAGTTGTCAGAATAATCTTTTTTAAAAATTATGTGAAGTCCTCCAAGAACTTCCTACTGTACCTAGATTAAAACCAAATCCACACTCATGAATAAAGCCTTTAAGGCCCTGTGTAACTTTTCCTATCCTACCTTCAACTTCATCCCAATTTCTCTCCCCCCAACTTTTGGTGTTCTGGCCACCCTGGCCATCTGGTTCCTTCACCACACCAAGTTCTTTCGCTCCTGCAAGACTTCCATATATTCCTTCTGCTGGGAATGATCTCTGTCCCTTTCTCTTTCCCTATGGAAGAGAACTGGCTCTTCTTTTCCATCCGGTCACCTTCCAAAAAAGGCTTTCCTGACCATTCTGGATAAGGTTGGGCCCCGCTTGGTCTCTCTAGTAGCGGCCTCATCTTTTTATTCTTCTGTAGCCATTTTTATACTTTTTTTTCTGGAGTTGCATTTTACATATTATTTTATTATATTTAATTGATCTTCACAGCAGATTATCAATTGACTTTGCTGCCATAATTAAGAGCATTTCTAGTAAAATATTAAGAAATGTATGATTGCTGGATTTAGAAAATGTCCAACTTTAGATAGGATACTTTACTGAGGAACTCTTTTAGTACTGAGTTCAATCTCTGTAGGCCTCTAAGTGAATTACGACATTTGGCCCTGTGAGTCCTTCTGGGATGAATTATCTGCATTCCTGTTAAAAATGCTTTGTCATTTCTTAGGGTCATTCCCTAGAAAAATGTTGAGAAATTTTTGGCATCATTTTCAAAGCAGGAACTATATAATAGGCAGTTTGCATGTGATAAACTGAAATACCAGAAAGACTACTATAACTTCGCTTTATTACAGAGTCGTAAGTTGCTCTTTTTAATTTATTAACTAGCTTATCTTCTTTCTCTGCTTTTACTCATCTGTTTCCTTAGAAGAGATCCAGATCCATTTTGTTTGCCTCTTTATATACACCCAATTACTAACATGTATGAATAAAGAACTCAAACAGAGACTCTTTTTTTCTTAAGTAGAACTCGGATGAACACCTTTCTAAATTGTGACCATACTCGTCATCCTGCTTTTATGTTAAATAAAAGCAGTTTGTAAAACAGAAACATTGTCTACATTTCTTTTATTTATTAATAGAGGTTTATGACTTGGAAAGGCCTTCTATAATGTTTTATAATATTTTAACTTTGTGAAAATTCAGGACATTTTCGTGCACATTTGTATGCCCCCAATAGACTGCCTGTGGTCGTTTTAGATTGACCATGGCCACATTTGCTTCTTAAAGCTCTTTCATGCAAGTATTTTTGCTTTGTTTTGTTTTTATTTTAAATCATAATTTAATACAGGAGGACCTATGCCTCAATAATCAGAGATAAGACCATCCTTACTTTGTGATATTCAGAATATTTAACAACTGGCTGGGGGCATCAATCAATGAGACCAGCACTTTGGTCAAGCAGGAAAGATTTTCAGCTTACTTACCTGAAGGCCACACTAAGTCCTACTGAATATGGACACTTATCTCTGGGGAAAGCAATTCCATAGGCCCTATTGGCTGCCTGCATGTTTAGCCAACCCCTTTACTTTTTAAAAGGCCTTTTTTTGGAAGTAGCTCAAAGACTTGGAACCTTTTAATTATCCCATAATCATGTCTTATTTATACCTGCCTGGATACTGTAGAGATGGGAAAACTTCAGTCTAAAGGACACAGTAATTGAGTTTTGCCTTCCAGAACTTGCTGAGCTAAATGCAGGTTATAGCGACCAGCTTGGGCTATCTTGGGTTTGTCTACACAGTGCCTTGTTGTGGATGGTCAGAGTCTTACTCCTTAGCTGATGGCATGGCCTGTAAACTGTTTCTCCACGCTCCTTTCTGACTCTGTCCTGGAGCATGGTGTATTGATGAAGGATTTTCGAAGATCAAAGCACATCTCTGTTTTCTCAGGATCTGTTTGCAACTGCCTTACTGGAAGGAGAAGCCCAGTGGGGGATTGCTCCTGCTGATCTTCATTGACATATCTGAGGCCACCTGCCTTTAAATGACTCTGAATTTTCTGACATTTTGCTTCTTTTTGGATCACAGGTCCACACGTTCCGAGGCCCACATTGGTGTGAATATTGTGCCAATTTCATGTGGGGGCTCATCGCCCAAGGGGTCCGGTGCTCAGGTAGACACAGAACTTCCTTCTTTTCCAATGATATGAAATGCCACTGTGCTGAGCTGGAGGATGTCTCTGGAGTGCTGGGAAATGTGCTCAGATTAGCTCAAAAGTCTAGCTTTCTGCGGGCTTCAAGGCCTGTCTGTGCTTAATGGGGAAACTATTTCAAGTGTTTGCAGGAATGAAAAAGAGTATCTCATGTTTATGCAAGGAAAGAAAAACAGTACATTTCCTTAAACACCTATCTGCCTCTTACAATAGGCAGTAGTCCGTAAAAGAAAAAAAAAATCAATTCCGATAGAACTGCATAGCTAGAAAAGCCATACTTTTTCCTACCCCATCTTACTACAAAAGGTAAGACATAAAAATAGTAATAGAGGTGGTTAATATTTACCATATACCAGGCACCAGTTAATCTCTATTTATCATGTCATTAGCCTCACCAACAGACCTTGGGAGAGATGCAATTATCCTTCATTTAAAAAAAAAAAAAGAATACACAGGGGCTTATTTGCCCTTGGCTGCGCAGTAAGGAACAGAATATTGATTCAGTGGGAGCCGGATTCCAGAAGTCATGCTCAGTGTCTCTTTGTCATCAGATTATCAGTGAAACCATGCACCTTGATTTGATATCACATATTTTCAAAGTAGTTGGAAAGCCTGGGTAATTTTCCACCTGGAACTGGAGGTATACACCTATTGCTAACAGCACACATCTTATTAAGGTACATCTAAAGCAAAGATAAAGAGTTGCCAAATTAATGCGTAACTGGGTTTCCTAATTCATGTTGCCATGGTTTTTCTGGCAAACACCTGTGGCTGGGAGCAAGACCAACCTCCTCTGATATTGATCAGGTTTCTACCAACACCATGACTGACTTCTTCCTTGCTAGGATATGATTTTTAAAAATCTTAGCAGCATTTAGAATACAATAAGGTAATGACACTAATTAAGGTGATCTTTCCCATTTTGGCTCACAGCATGCTATAACCCTAAGTCCTCCTCTCTGCCTGGAAGGGGCTTCTAGCTTCTATTATGTAAATATACCAATCACCGGTGTTGATACCTGGATGGTTCAAGTAGTTCTACCTCCCCCATTGCAGGTCTACATTTAAGGGGGTGGTCAACATAGCTCAGAAGCAGCTTCTCCATAAATATTCAGAAACCCTGATTAACACCAAAGACTGACTTGCCAGGAGTCACAACATATCTCCCAGCTCAGCCACTGAGCAAAGGGATGGAATATCTGAATTACTCAGTGGTCATTAATTTGGCCTGTCCATATTGAACCTACCAAAAATATCCCTAATTGCTGGTATTATCCAATTTCAGCAAGAAATTGGTCCAAAGTCAATATTATGAGAACAAAACTCTGGGCTTCATATTAGCTGTGAACAGCAACTTTTCAACTTTCTCTGTGATAAAAGGGTTTTTGTGGGGTTTTTTCTGGTCTTGTTTTTTAAAATAAGACATTTTCTGAGGCCATATTGTTAGTATTCTCCAATGGCTACTCTTTGGCCTTATATTTCCTCTTAGCAGCAGGGAGACTGAAAACTAATCATGAAAGCTTAGGAAGAACCATCATTGCCTCTCAGCTTTCCATATATTACATCTTTTAGAGTATTTTTAGAATGCACTGGACTTTATTTGTAGCATATGGAGTTCTACTGCTTTGTAAAAAAATGGACTATTTTTACATTTGTTATAGAACATCTTAATTTTAATAAAACATCAGTATTAAACTCTACATAAACACATTGTTGCTTTAGGTCTTAAATGAAAATGGATGATTCCTATTATATGTGGTACCCAGGGTGGCAATTCCAAAAGGTAGAAAGTTGAATGGTATTTACAGGCGATAGGTGGATGGGGAGTTATATTGTTAAATGGGTATAGAGTTTCAGCTTTGGAAGATGAAAAAAGTTATGGAAACCTACAGAGAACTCAAAGAAATTTACAAGAAAAAAACAACCCCATCAAAAAGTGGGCAAAGAATATGAACAGACACTTCTCAAAAGAAGACATTTATGCAGCCAACAGACACATGAAAAAATGCTCATCATCACTCGCCATCAGAGAAATGCAAATCAAAACCACAATGAGATACCTTCTCACACCAGTTAGAATGGCTATCATTAAAAAGTCAGGAAACAACAGGTACTGGAGAGGATGTGGAGAAATAGGAACACTTTTACACTGTTGGTGGGACTGTAAACTAGTTCAACCATTGTGGAAGACAGTGTGGCGATTCCTCAAGGATCTAGAACTAGAAATACCATTTGACCCAGCCATCCCATTACTGGGTATATACTCAAAGGATTATAAATCATGCTGTTATAAAGACACATGCATACATATGTTTATTGTGGCACTATTCACAATAGTAAAGACATGGAACCAACCCAAATGTCCATCAGTGACAGACTGGATTAAGAAAATGTGGCACATATATACCATGAAATACTATGCAGCCATAAAAAAGGATGACTTCGTATCCTTTGTAGGGACATAGATGCAGCTGGAAACCATCATTCTCAGCAAACTATAGCAAGAACAGAAAACCAAACACTGCATGTTCTCACTCATAGGTGGGAATTGAACAATGAGATCACTTGAACACAGGAAGGGGAACATCACACACCGGGGCCTGTTGTGGGGTGGTGGGGAGAGGGGAGGGATAGCATTAGCAGATATACGTAATGTAAATGACGAGTTAATGGGTGCAGCACACCAACATGGTGCATGTATACATATGTAACAAACCTGCACGCTGTGCACATGTACCCTAGAACTAAAAGTATAATAATAAAAAAAAAGAAAAAATTTCTGGAGATGGCCAGTGGTAGTGCTTGCATAACAGAATGAATGTACTTAATGCCACCAAATCATACACTTAAAAATGGTTAAAATGATAAATTTATCAGAATTTAAAAAAAATTAAAAGTTTGTAAGACCTACTAAGAATTCCTAATGAAATCACTGAAGAATAGCTGGGCAGATATACTTACATTTTTTATCACCATATTTGCTATTGATTTTATTTGACCTAACACATATATAGTACTTAACCATATTTCAGACACTATGCTAAACACTTTATTAACTTTTATTTGAGCCTCATGGCTAATGCCAGGGGGTAGGTGCTATTATGATCTTCTATAAAAGAGGATTCAACAAGAAACCCGGCCAAATCTGTTTAGCGCAGTTAGCCAAAATTTACATTCACTGGAGGTATCAAAATATTATTGAAGTCACTTGAGCTTTGTTGAATTTCTCATGTTGATAAAGATGAATTTGAACTTTTTTTTTTTTTTTACTTTGGAAGGAGGGTAGATAGAGAACTCAAGCCAATAAAAATTACATGAAAATCACTTAGAAATTACCACTGATTTTACAAAAGTTTAGATCCTCTCAAGTTCTTAGTGTGCTTAAGTGCTATTTTATAAAGCAGATGACTACAATATTCCTTATCGTGTGTGCACATGTGTTATTCTTTGTGCCTAGGAAAACAGTATTAAAAGACAGTTTGAGTAGACAGCACATCAACTTTGAAAAACTTCAGCACTGAATGTAGACTGTGCTTTTTTATTTTTTATTTTTGGAGACGGAGTCTCCCTCTGTCGCCAGACTGGAGTGCAGTGGCATGCAATCTCAGCTTACTGCAACCTCTGCCTCCTGGGTTCAAGTGATTCTCCTGCCTCAGCCTCCTGAGTAGCTGGGATTACAGGGGTCCACCACCATGCCCAGTTAATTTTTGTATTTTTAGTAGAGACAGGGTTTCACCATGTTGGCTGGTCTCAAACTCCTTGCCTCAGGCAATCTGCCCACCTGCCTCGGCCTCCCAAAGTGCTGGGATTACAGGCATGAGCCACCGTGCCCGGCCAACTGTGCCTTTTTATCGTCAGAGAAATTCCATCAGTGGATATCAACTGCTAACAGGCTTTTCATGTGTTCATTGAACTTTAAAAGCACCTTTTTCAGCTTTGGGGTTTCATATGAACTTTATAAATAATCATCACATTACATTACACGGCATTGGTATAAACTCTCAAGTACTCCTACTGGTGTATATAGTTAGGCATTATTTCCACTCACAGGTGTCAAAATAAGGCACCTAGAAAGGAAAGCGGCCTACCCAAACTGCCCAAGGAGAAAGGGATTGGAAACGATGGGGCAACCTTCCAGGAAAGGGGAGGAGGATACCAATGGTTATGGACTCCTCAAAGCAAAGATTAGAGAGTCCTGCGGAAAGAGTAACTCTGCCTCCCACACAAGCAGCATCAAGAGCTTAAAGGAAACAGCCTGGAACAAACCCTAGGTGCCCTTTATAAGCCAGGACTGTCTGGGAATCCAAACCCAAAATCCTACTTGTGGACCCAAAGGGTTCCAGCCTGAAACAGGAAAATATATACCAAAAAACCTGATCAATTACCTAAGCTGTCTCATATGTTCTGTTCTCAAGGTCCAACAACAGAGAAGGCTTAATGAGAAAAATGGAATCATATACGGGTTTAGTGATTAGAGATGATACTCGTATTTATCCTGTAGACAGTATCACCTAGAAATGGGATAGATGTTCCAGAGAAATATGTCAAACCCTTGGGTGGTGATATTTTTATTTTTGGCAACATATAATTTGGGTTATGCTTTGACAAAAGGGCTGAGCTAACCTAATGTGGCTTCTTTGTTTACAGACTGTGGATTGAACGTACACAAACAGTGTTCCAAGCACGTTCCCAATGACTGCCAACCTGATCTCAAGAGGATCAAGAAAGTATACTGTTGTGACCTCACAACACTTGTGAAGGCTCACAACACTCAGAGACCCATGGTGGTGGACATTTGCATTCGGGAAATTGAAGCAAGAGGTTTGGAAAATACTTCCTATTATAGTAGCATAGTGATTTTATTTTTATTGTTTGTTTTTACTGTTGTCAAGGAAACAGAATTGCTCTACTACTCTTGGGAAAATGACCTAGGCATGTGTGCGCGCACACACACTCATTCTCTCTCACAGATAGACTCAATCCAACCAGCTCTATCAATTTCCATTCTATATATAAGCCATGCATATATGCATTCAAAAAATGTTTACTGAACATTTATTACATGCTGGGCATTGAGGTAATAAAGGTCACCATTCTCACCGTCAAGAAATTCATACTTCAGCTGTGTGCAGTGGCTCACGCCTGTAATCCCAGCAGAAGCTGAGGCCAGACAATCACTTGAGCCCAGGAGTTCAAGACGAGCATGGGCAACATAGTGAGACCCCATCTCTACAAGTTTTTTTTTTTAATTAGCCAGGTGTGGTGGTACACACCTGTAGTTCAGCTACTCGGGAGGCTGAGGCATGGAAGAAATTCATACTTTAGAGTGGGCAATCAGGAGCAAATAAACAAATATCGTGGATGGCTGTGTTCAAGGTACCACAGAGTCACAAAGGAAAATGTTTTAATCCTATTTAAGGACAATGGGAAAAGGTTATGGCAGAGGTGAGGCTTGAATTGGATCTTTGAAAAAAAAGGTGCTTCGGCCCGGCGCGGTGGCTCAAGCCTGTAATCCCAGCACTTTGGGAGGCCGAGACGGGCGGATCACGAGGTCAGGAGATCGAGACCATCCTGGCTAACACGGTGAAACCCCGTCTCTACTAAAAAATACAAAAAACTAGCCGGGCATGGTGGCGGCGCCTGTAGTCCCAGCTACTCGGGAGGCTGAGGCAGGAGAATGGCATAAACCCGGGAGGCGGAGCTTGCAGTGAGCTGAGATCCAGCCACTGCACTCCAGCCTGGGCGACAGAGCGAGACTCTGTCTCAAAAAAAAAAAAAAGAGAAAAAAAAGAAAAAAAAGGTGCTTCTATTAAATAAGAAATTGTTGAGCAACACATACATCTCCTACCATATAAAAATGTGCTCCTAATATTCATGGTTTATTTCAAAGAGGAGAGTTCAAAGATTTAAAAGATCTGTTCAATGAAAAATAAACAAGGAAGATAGAAACATTTCAAAAGAATGTTCTATTTATTTATTTATTTTTTATTATACTTTAAGTTCTAGGGTACATATGTAACAAACCTGCACGTTGTGCACAAAAAATGTTCTTTATGTTGTACATGAATCACTTTTCCTTTATTTGTGCTTTCTTTGGCCACTGTTCAGTATCAGAATGTTCACTGATGTTGCTGGATGTAATTTGGGTGATTTGGCCATGTATAGAGCCTTTTTGTAAGGTTTAAACCACTTTTGCCATGTATCATATTCTGTTATACTTGGTATCCATTATTGTGTCCTAACTGGCTTAATATATTTTATACATATATATTCATTGGTTAACTACCCCATTTTTTCCAAAGCACAACTAAAGAGGATGTCATAGCTTATTATCCCAACCCTTTTAGAGAGAGGAATTTATTCCCTTTTCTGTGGAGGGGGAAAACCGTAGCTATCCTGTTCCTTGAGAACTTGCTAATTTAATCCCAGAGTGTAGAAATGCCTTCTATCTTTTCACCACTGTGGCTGACAGAGCTTAATGAGTGCTTTGGGATCTGGTGAACATATTAATCCAGTGGCTAAACTGGGTAAGAGGAAAGGAGGGATTCCCTGCCTCTGGATGAGTGGTTGGGACAAGTGGCCCTGGGCCCTGCAGTTTGAGGTCAGATTATCAGCCTCTCCAGAGCCTGCAATCAGGGCTTTTCTGAAGAAGCTGGGGTCCTCCCATTGTGATCCTTAGCAGAGACAACTGATAATTCAGGCAACATTACTGACATGTCTAACATTTAAGAATAGGGGGCACTGCACTGATTTTGCCTAGTACAAGAGTGAGATAGAGTAGCACAAATTAGGAATTGATGCCCAAAGAGTCACAGCACAGGGATTAGAGCCCCAGGTATTAGGGGCCTAAGCATGCAAGCAGAACCAGAGAATGGGCTGGGAGAAATTTGTGTGACACTCACATACCCAGCCAACATTTTTCCCTGTCTTCCATTCGTAAAAAATTCCTGATTGTTCTCCAAATGTTCTTTTATGTTCATTTGTCTCTCCATGATGTGGTAGAGTGAAAAGATCAAGGACTTGAAGTTAAATTCTCAGCCCTGTCTCTTACTGGCTGTAGCACGACCTTGGGCAAGTTACTTACTGTATTTGCATATCTGTTTCTTCATCTATAATATGAATGGAATCAACTATACCTCATAAGGTGGTTGGCAAGGATTAAAGTGACTTGATACATAAATGGACCTAGTACAGCGTTCAGTCTACCGAACTCAATCTGTGTTAATTTTATGTTTTCTTGGAATGACCCACACCCATACCTCCACCTCCAAATCTGTCTAACTGTATTACGTAGCCTGTACATCTCAATGCTGTCACAGAGACCCTAAATAACAGTGCCTTTGACAAGATAGAAATCTATTTCTCTCCCCAGTAATAGTCCAGGTACCCAGGAGCAGTCCAGGAATAGTCTGTTCCCCCATGGCAGGAACCCAGGCACGGCAGCTTGTTGCTCTGTCCTGCTTGAGTACTATCCTGCGTGCACAATCGCAGCTGGCCACCACCATCTCATCTGCATTTCACTCAACAGGAAGCGGAAAAGAGCATCCTCAGTTCCTTTAAGGCCACAGAAGCCATAAATGTCACCTCTGCTCCCACATGGGCCAGAGTTTTAATGGCCACTGCAATGGACATTGTTCTAAAAACCAAAGGTGCCGTTACAACAGAAGAATGGGAGAACAAATATTGGAAGGATAGCTGGCAGCTTCTGCTACTCTGGCAAACTCTAACCATCCTTTATCATTTCCTTCAAAGATTAGCTTCTTTAAAAAGCATCTCGATGTAATACAGGGTGATGCTTTGCTCAGTGAAGCATGGGCTAAAATCAGGAAAATTACCCCCATTTAATTATACTCTAAACCATACAACTTGTTGTATTGTTTAAAGCATAGATTTCTTTTTTTTTAACTTTAAGTTATGGGATACATGTGCAGAATGTGCAGGTTTGTTACATAGGTATACATGTGCCATGGTGATTTGCTGCACCTATCAACCCATCATCTAAGTGTTAGGTTCTGTATGCATTAGGTATTTGTCCTAATGCTCTCCTTCCCCTTGACCCCCACCCTCCAGCAGGCCCCAGTGTGTGATGTTCCCCTCCCTGTGTCCACGAGTTCTCACTGTTCAGCTCCCACTTATGAGTGAGAACAAAAGCATGGGTTTTTCTATGTTCCTTGAAAACCTGGATTTCTTTGAAAGTGACTCAGTGAATCTTATGACTGAATGTTTGTTTCTCCTACCCCACCAAATTTACATGTTGAAGCCCTAATCACCAGTGTGATTGTCTTTGGAGATGGAGGTCTCCAAAGAAGTAATTAAGGCTAAATGAGGTCCTAAGGGAGGGACCCTAAACAGTATGACTAATGTCCTTATGAGAAGAGACACCAAAGAGCAAATTCTCTCTGTCACTCTCCATGCACATATACCAAGGAAAGGACGTGTGAGAGAAGGTGGCCATCTATGAGCCAGAAAGAGAGCCTTACCAGAGGCCAGAACTTTGATTCATCTATCAACAGGCAGGGTTCAATGTTCACTGCTAGGGGCTCCCATAATCCACTGGGTCTGTGCCTCTGTGGCAGTGCATGTTCCAACTGGAATGAGATGTGCTCATATGCACCAACATCTTAGAACAGGATGACCCACAAGTTTCATCTTGTGACAACTACAGTTGATCAGTAGTGGTCACCTGAGCAATTGGAACTGAGATGAATTCTGAGGCTAAATAGGGCTCAGTGGGAAAAAGGGCTGAGATCAACTAAGAGCATCTGTCATGGTCACAGGAGGGATGAGGGGAAGTATTCGTGATTTACGCCATGTATTTGTTGTCTCTGATGCATACCTAATGAAGACCCTTATATACGGCAGATAATACATACTCCATAAATGTTTTCCAAATAAAAAAACAAGAGCATATGTGAGTTATCAAGGGTTTGGTGGAATATATGGCAGCAGCAGCAGAAGCTATTTGTTTGCTTATTTTTACGGTAGCTATAGTTTTGATAGCAGCTACTTTGTGCCATACAAAGTCTGAAATCCAGTCCTTTATCCCTGCTCATACTTTTGGGAACTGACTTGTTTTTAGGACATATCTTAACAAATCAATAAACTCCAGGAACAGAAACCAAGTCTTTTTTTCTTAGCCTAAATTTGCAGTGATCCAATTTCCAGAAGCAATAACTAAAACTTTATTTTCCTGCATCTGTTTGTATAATCAGTTGTCTAAAAGTATAACAAGTAATCATTTTTAATTAAACAGTTAACAGTCTTATTTACAAGTAAACATGAAAGGCTGTAATAGTCTAATTTTTTCCAATAAAATTAGAGTAACACATATTAGATATCCACATACATACACATGTGTATCTAGTACAGTGCTACATACAATATAGCACATGGATTAAGATGATGCTAGGTACCCCACTTACTCTGCTGTGATTATCACACATTTTATGCCTGTATCAACATACCTCATATACCCCATAAATACATACACCTACTATGTACCCACAGAAATTAATAAAAGAAAGATGATGCTAGGAAGAAAGGTTGCTTCCTACAATGATGAAATTCATGTCCAGCAAGCTCATGAACAAAGGAAAGGAAGTAAGGGAACGGTCCATGAGAATCTTAAATATCAGTTCTCTTTGCAAAGCGGAGAAGGATGAAGACCGGATTTACACTGAGATCTCCACTGCTACATGGGCAAATGAGAACAGACTTGCCTGGAAATTGAGACAGACAAGTCCAAGTTCTGATGCAACTGTGTGTGATAAATAAGATCGCTGTCTATGTTTGCTCATTTCCTGATAGCATGTAGTGTAGATGTGAAATTAGAGTCTTTTTTTTTTCAGATGTTTCAAGAAGCTAAAGTTAGTCTCTCTCTCTCTCTCTCTCTCTCTCTCTCTCTCTCTCTCTCAGGATTAAAATCGGAAGGCCTTTACAGAGTCTCTGGGTTCACTGAACACATTGAAGATGTCAAAATGGCATTTGACAGAGGTAAGCTTGTACTTTCTTGAATGCCATCTGACATCCTAACACCCTTCTCGTTTGGAACTAGATTTTAATCATAGTAGAAATGGGGTTTCAGAACTACTAAGAGTTGTTCTTCAAGAAACGGAGGAATAATGGCTTACAAATCTCATGTTTCTGCCTCACTGGGCAAAGTGTTTCCTTCGCAGCCATTGACAAGTGATCACTGTCAATGGGCAGACAATCCATATGGCATTGGAGTACCCGTCTGCATCCCCTGTCTCAGGATCCCATTCTTCTCCTTCTCTCAAAGCTCCAAAGAAGGGATCATAAGGATGGGAGGGCACCCCCAGCACTAATGTAGGGGAAGGCAGTGGACATGTAGGAGGGAACTGCTTTTGTTCTTTATAACTGTGGTGTATATTCTCTAGAACATACTATCTCTTAAGTCAGATATCATGGCCATCCTGGGGATCCTGTTAAAAATACGGGTCACTGGGACCCAACTTGAAGACTCATTCAGAAAGCTGGATAAGCCCAAGAATCTGTATTTCTAATAAGCAATCCAAGTAATTCTGGCACAGCCAGTGAATACATGGAACCCCTACTGGATAGAGCCTACTGGATAGAGCCTCTACTTTGTAGTGTGGTATATGAAATCAGTGAGGTTGCCCTCCCTCTCTCTTTAGACTTCTCTCCAGTTCCTCCTCCCTACTCTACTGTACACTCCAGCAATCCTGAAATACACCCTATTTGCTGCCATGAAGAAGTGCCTCGGCTCACATTGTCCTGTCTATCTGAAATGTATTCACCTCTCTGCCTAGCAAACACCTATAATCAGGGGTCAGCTCAAGCCTTTCCTCCTTGAGGAAGCCTCGCTGACTGCCCCAAGCTAACCTCAGAGCTCAACTTCCTTTTCCCACACCCCACCCCCCACATTCCCCACACTTCTTCAGCATAGCAATCTTCCCATTTCCTTGTCATTGTTGAGTTGCATGTCTGACTGTCAATCTAACTAGAACTGTTGGTTGGCAGAGAGAGTATCTCTTTTCTTTGGTTCATCAGGGCTTAATGGTGCTTGGCACATGACAGCTTCTCAATAACTGCTTGCTAAATATGTAAATAATGAAATAAACGTGGCATATCTTCTATGCTTTTACTGTTTTCTATACATCGGCAGCTTTTTTAATCTTCAGAACCAAATTTGCTGAGGCATTTATTCTTTTAATTCTTTATGTAAAAGATATTAAGAATTCCTATATGATTAAAACATTTTTATCCAAAAAATGTCATAGGCTATGACAAATTGGACTGGTATTTCCTAATGGTAAAACTAAAAGTCAAAAAATGTCTTGAGAATTATTATTAGAAATGGTAAGAAATATAGGCCAGGCACGGTGGCGGATACCTAGAATCCCAGCACTTTGGGAGGTGGAAACGGAGCAGGTCAGAACTTCTGTGCTGATCCTTTGTACTGCCTACAAAGAAATAATTCTGGACCAACAATAAATGCCAGATACATTAGTACAATATATTTAAAGTGCTGAAGTGAAATAACTGTCAAAATAGGCCGGGCACAGTGGCTCACACCTGTAATCCCAGCACTTTGAGAGGCCGAGACGGGTGGATCACTTGAGGTAGGAGTTCGAGACCAGCCTGGCCAACATAGCGAAACTCCCCCCTCTACTAAAAATACAAAAATTAGCCAGGCGTGGTGGCACGTGCCTGTAATCCCAGCTACTCAGGAGGCTGAGGCATGAGAATTGCTTGAACCCGGGAGGCGGAGGTTGCAGTGAACCAAGATTGTGCCACTGCACTCCAGCCTGGGCTACAGAGTGAGACTCTGTCTCACACACACACACAAAAAAAAGAATGATAAGAAATATAACATCACATATCCATGAGAAAAGGGTAAAGTTTCCCAGATTAAATTCCTAGGGGATCAGGGAGGAAGGATCAAGTTAAAAAAACAAGTAAACAAACCCCTTCAGTGAACCTGAAAGAAACAATAAGAACTGAAACTATTCAACAATCATTTTGTGAATGTGACTTCCAAATCCAAGTCTAAAAAACACTGGTGGAAATGTATTAGAGCTTCTTGATGTTCTCTTGTTTCAGATTAGATTGTCATTTTATTATGAACCTTTGTGTCTATAATACAAATTATTGTGCTAAATTTCTATTTAGCAAATTACCAGGGGCGGGGACCCAAAGCACTGTTTGAAGTTTGTTTTATCACCTGTTTGCCTGCACAAACCCTCAGAGCCTACCTCCCTCTCACCAAACTCCCTTCTGTTGCCTCCTACACTTCAGTGTTACTAGAACCCAAAAGAGTTAGCTGAGACTTGTCAGGGAGCATTCACCATTGGATTTTTTTTTTTTCTTTCTGTACATGCCTTGGCGAAATAAGGTCCTAATTAGGACTTGGATCACTGATTGTTTTTCAGATGGTGAAAAGGCCGATATATCTGCCAATGTCTATCCAGACATAAACATCATCACTGGAGCCCTTAAACTGTATTTCAGAGACTTACCCATCCCTGTCATCACATATGATACCTACTCCAAATTTATAGATGCAGCAAGTAAGTACTTCAAATTAACTTTTTATTTTTAAGAAATTTTTAAGTACAATGCTTTTGACCTTCAGAAAATTAAAACTCAGAACTGTTTAAATTATTGCATTTGTACCTGTCTTGTCAAGTGAGGGCACAACGGTAAATAGATGACCAGGCATAGTTCAACAGCTGACTTGAACCAGTTCTAAGAACTCTGTGGACTGACGTATGTGTCAGGCAGTTCTGTCCGCATCGTTCCTTGTATGCTGGGAACCAACACAGTCAGGCCTATTCCGTGTTGAAAGCATGAATATTTCTGTCGCAGAAAAAAAAAAAAATCTTCAGTGAGGACTGACTAGATCATGGGGATCCAATCTTTTGTCTTCCCTGGGCCACATTGGAAGAAGAATAATTGTCTTGGGCCACACATAAAATATACTAACATTAATGATAGCTTTAATGATAATTTTAAATAATTTTTAAATAAATTATTTTAAAATCTTATAATGTTTTAAGGTTTACAAATTTGTGCTGGGCCATATTCAAAGCTGTCCTGGGCATGTGCGGCCCACAGGCTGCGGGTTGGACAAGCTTGGTCTAGATTAACTACTTTTATCTGTTAGGCAGAATTTCATTCCTAATCAGTTAAAGTCACAACCAAGTTTTGTCTATTGATGCTGTTCAAAATGGACAGAAGGCCAGAGTATACTGTGTCAAGCAGTATACTAGAATGTCTCACCAGTGCCTTCTAGTTTAATTCCCTCATTTACCCCATGTGGCAAATCTTATAATCCCATTTTACAGAGAAGAAAAGCAAGGCTTGGAGAGCTGAGCTCATGCTTCCAGGAATGGGACATCAGGATTTGCCTTCCATCAGCCCAGGGTTGCTCATTCAGTGTTTGGCACTTGGGCCCACTGCTGTAGGAGAGAAAAGAGAGTGAAAAGGGGGCAGGTCTGGAGGAAGGGACTACACTTTGCCCAGGAAGAGGCAAAAGTGACCAAAGGGAGCTTCAGATGCTGAGACACATGACACAGAAGTCAAGCTCACTTTGAGGAAGTTTTTGCTTGTTGTTGTTGTTTTTATTAAAAAAAAAAAACCTTTAAAAGTTGAAAAGTTTAGGTATGCTGTTAAATATAGTAATGAGATGCCTGATGGGGAGACACAAAGGCAGGCTGGGATAAGTGTGAGATGCACTTTTCAGATGAGCTGAGGCCCTGACCCCGGTAAGACTATTCCCTCCTTCCGGGGCCCTAGTGGTCCTGGCAAAGAAGGTTCTAGCATCCTCTACTCCAGGAGGAATAGCAGGAGGGTTTTCTTTGAGTAGCTGCCAGTACCTATCAGAGACCCAAAAGCCAGAAGCATGTACTCTTCCTCCCATTGTTAATGTGTCCAGTCTCCACTTCCTAACCTGGGCTGTGCACCGGGGTTAAGCATGCCAACACTATAGTGAGAAGTGCCATGAGTGCAGGCTGAGTTGGGTGGCTCATTGCCAATGTCCTTGCCTTGTAAAATGTATTAGGTTGTAGAAGTCTGCCAGAGAAAGACTCATTAGACAACTTCAAGGGAATAGTACTGTATATGGTGCAGTTTAAATTAAAACTTGTGGGAGTGATATTTCTAGCAAATCTACTGTTCAGAAGAAAGCAAAGCACAGTGTGCACATATGCTCCGTGACTGTATGCATTCTGCTGGCTTACGGATTCATGGAGGGCAAGGACAGTGTCCAGCCTCTGGCCACCCAGAGGACATTCAATAAGCATGTGGTGCTCAGCCTCAAACTCTTTCCTGAATGACACAGGACACCAACAAATTGATTAAGTGAAACAGTGCTTGGATTGCATCAATTTAATAGAATCGTTCCCCCATTTCTGGCTAAAACAAAAACTTCTTGTTACTTCTCTAAAAACTTGAATGCCACCCTCTGAACTAATACCCATCATGCATGAACTTCACAGAAATCTCCAATGCAGATGAGAGGCTGGAAGCCGTCCATGAAGTGCTGATGCTGCTGCCTCCTGCCCACTATGAAACCCTCCGGTACCTAATGATCCACCTCAAAAAGTAAGCTTATGCCTCATGCACAACGCCTGCTCTGCCCCTAGAGCAATTAATGCATAAGGAAAAGTGGACAGCATTCCTCCCCAGCCCCCTGAGGGGACCGAGCCTCCAGCCCCAGCCATAACTGCTGGAGCTTCACCGTGCCAGGAGCCACGCCAGGCACTTTCAGTGTATCATGCCTATGAAAGGGGCACCATTGCGGTGGCTCACGCCTGTAATCCCAGCACTTTGGGAGGCCGAGGCGGGCGGATCACGAGGTCGGGAGATTGAGACCATCCTGGCTAACACGGTGAAACCCCGTCTCTACTAAAAATACAAAAACTTAGCCGGGCATGGTGGCAGGCGCCTGTAGTCCCAGCTACCCGGGAGGCTGAGGCAGGAGAATGGCGTGAACCCGGGAGGCAGAGCTGGCAGTGAGCCGAGATCATGCCACTGCACTCCAACCTGGGTGACAGAGCGAGACTCCATCTCAAACAAAAAAAACGTTGGGGGGGGGGCACCATTAGGGGCCTCGTGTCACTCGTGAGATTGCTGACACTTGGGGAGGTTACATAGCTGATTTGAAGAGGTAAAGCCAGGATCCCAGGCAGGCTGATGCACAGCCTTTACCTACTCTGCCACTGTGTCTGCATCTTCATCTGACACAAGCCCTGTACTGTGTGTCCTGTTCGTCCCCCTGTTGCTTGCCCCTTTCCAGGCTCCTGAGCCTGCCTGCCTCCTGGGAGAGCACATTTCCAGCCTGATCTCTTATTTTTCTGGATGTGTGAGTTCTATATCATTAAGTAACAAACTTCTCCCAAAACTTAGTGGCTTAAAACAGTAAACATTTATTATCTCATAGTTTCCAAGGGTCAGGAATCCAGGTGTGAATCAGCTGGCTGCCTCCAGTTCAAGGTCTGTAATGAGGCTGCAGTCTTATCTGAAGGCTTGATGCACCTGTAATCCCAGCTACTTGGGAGGCTGAGACAGGAGAATTGCTTGAACCCAGGAGACAAAGGCTACAGTGAGCAAAGATTGCACCACTGCACTCCATCCTGGGCAACAGAATGAGACTCTGTCTCAAGAAAAAAAAAAATTCACTCCTGAAGGCTTGATGGTGGTGGCATCCATCTCCAAGCACACTCACATGGTTGTTGGCAGGATTCAGTTCCTTAAAGGCTGTTGGACTGAAGGCTTCACTCCCTCACCAACTGTTTGCTGGAGTCAACCCTCAGTTCCTTGCCATGTGCATTTCTCCATAGGCAGTTTAAATTAAAACTTGTGGGAGTGATATTTCTAGCAAATCTACTAGAAGCCAACCGGCTTCTCTCAGAACAAGAAAGCAAGAACACCCAATATGAAAGACAGTCTTTTTGTAACCTAATCTCAGAAGTGACATCCTATTGCTTTTGCCATGTTTTATCTGTTAGAAGCAAATCAAGTCCAGCCCATACTTTAGGGGAAGGGATGCAGGGTGTAAATTACAGGAGGCATATCACTGAGGTCCATCTCAGAGAGTACCTGCGGCACACAGAACTGTCTGTGTGAGTGTGTGGGAGACAGAGATGGAGACATCTGGATGTTTATGGGACACTAGAACCTCTGGTGACACTACTCTCCCTAAACCTTGTCTCTCTCTCTCTCACTGCACATGTGTAATGAGGTTGATAAATTGGTGTTATAACATTGGAAGGATCAGGGCATATCTGTGTTCCTCTGTGTTTTTGAAAGACATTTGGCAGCAGCCCATTCTTTGACAAAATGAACCAAAAATTGTCTACATTGACCAGTTCACAGATCTACTTAGTAAGTGAAAAGAGGCAAACTGAGGACTGTATAAACAGTAGGTATTGAGGTTTTATTTTTCTACCTTTTAAGACATACAATATTGTTGCTCAGATTCAGGGTGACAGGTGATGGTAACATTTAGCTCAGAATATTCCCATTTTGATTAATTTGTTGAATTTAGGAGTACAAGTAATTTTTAGATAATTATGGGTGTCACATCTGGCTTTCAGTCAGCTCTGTAAAATATTTATTGTGATCAATATCCAGTTACAATTTGGAAGGCAAAGTACCATTACCAGAAAAAATGCTGACACCTTTCAGCTGAACCTTAAATGCCAATAATACTGTATCTTTTTCATAGTGGGTTTGCTAGCCATCTTGTTTGGTCAGGCATAGTACCTGACTTAAGAGGAAGCTGTGAGCACTTTGATGGTGAGAAATGTCCTCTTTCCAACCTTGCTCTTAGCTTTGTGGCATGGACATGACACAAACTGGGTTGACCTTAAAATAATACTCAATGGCTAATCCTAATGAGTTATAAGGAAATAGAAAGGGATGGCTTTCTATGCACAACCTAAACACATTTTAATTATATTTTGCTCTTTTTTGGAGAACCCACTCCCTTTTACATCTATTAGGAACATTCTGAAACTTAAATCTGTGAAAACATAACTCTGGGAGATTGTAATTTTATTCCATGAGGAAGATATTAAACCAACTTTGCAGTTTGAATTTTATTCTTAAAGGCTCTGCAGTTCTTATCTGGATGTCAAAATGATGATTCTTAATTTCAACTGCTGTTCAACTGCTGTAGACCTCATCCTGTGGGAACTACAAATAATGTCCAACTGCCTTCCAGTTTGGCCACATTCCAGCCATTCCCCCACCCCATGATAACGGCCTGGTTCTTCCTAAATTCATGACAGCCCATTCTACACATAACCTTTCTCCTCTGGCACCAGTCCTCCCAGCAGACAGGGATCCTGCCCTTCCCTTCCCACTCTCCAGCATACAGACCAGCAGGAAGCCACAAGAGGAAAAAAAGCCTTCCGTATGAGGCCTGTGAAAGGACCATGGGCCAGCCTCAGAATCCGCTGCCCCTACAAACCAGTATTCCTTAAATGATAGTTCCATATTCACTTAATAAGGAGGACTAATTTTCTAATTTAAAAAATTGTGTTCCTGCCAGATTCACATATGTAATTCATTTCCACTGGCAAAGGCAATGTCAACAATATAAAACAAAAAATCGGTCAATTACCCTTCAAAAATACCTTTCTGCCATTCTGATTCCCAATTTTTTCTTGCAATTTCCTGAACCAGAGATGTTCTTGGGACTTACATACATAATCAATACAGAAAATCAATCCTCAAGTCTCCGTAACGTCTCTGTTCTGTATGTTTGTTTTGCAGGGTTACTATGAATGAAAAAGACAATTTCATGAATGCAGAAAATCTGGGGATCGTGTTTGGGCCCACTCTGATGAGGCCCCCTGAGGACAGCACCCTTACCACCCTGCATGATATGCGGTACCAAAAGCTGATTGTGCAGATTTTAATAGAAAACGAAGACGTTTTATTCTAATCCATCAGGGAAATGAGTTGAATGGCCTCAGCCCCATCCAAGTTGACAAAGCTAAAGGAACAAAAACTTTTCTTACCACTTGATTTGTTTTCCAAACAAGTGCTAGAATTTGCTGGACCGCAGAGGATCGCTGAGTGGGGTACTGTGTCTCATAGACATGCGCCACCTCCACGTGAGAACAAGGGTGAAGGTGAGGGAAGCCCCATCGCCTTGGGTCTTTTGCTGTGCCTCCTATGTATGTCTGGTTTGCTGGAAGAGTGATTAATACATCTTTAATTTATTAAAAACAATGTAGACCTTTAAATTTCAGTCTTATTGGTAATAAAAGGGAACTTAATTCATAAAGGTACTTGATAACAGTTATACATTTTCCACTTACAAAAAGAAGACAATTCTGTTCAATGTTAAATGAAACCTATATCATAAAACATATTTTTATTTTAGCCACAAGAATGTTATTTTTAGCAAATAGAACTCAATGCAGTGCATTGGTTATTATCCTGTGTACCTTGTCCCTCATTTTGCTGTGACACCCTGAAAAAGCTGACCACAAATGCAGTATTATCTCGACATACCTCTGTCCTCCTCAGTGCTTTTCAATGAAATTTCACCTGCCCCTTGTGTTCCTGCTTTTGACAGTTTTTGCTCTTAAGCACTGGCATTCTTCTATTGTATGGTATATATTTATAGCAATTGTAGGATGGTCTGAAATGTCCACCAATTTTCTTTTCATACAAATTTTGTGAATTCCCAAAGTATGCTTTGGAATTGGTCATAGTCTTTTCGTATCATGAGTGTGTATCCCAGAAGATACAGAATGCGGTCATTTTACCTGAAATTATTTGAGAACACTGGATGTATCTGGTCTGTGTAAAAAGTTAGCACTTTCCCTCTTTTCTTCCCGGCCAAGCCCTCTGAATTCATCTGTTAATATCAAATTGTATTTTTGCCACTTTTCTGTATTGGTGAAAAGCGAATCTGCAGAATTGTCGAGGTTTTTCTTTTTTGTTCTAGAAACCTATTTTTTAAAGTGAGAATAAGGTTGGTTTTTACCAAATATTTGTTCCTCCTTGACAAAAGTAGCTCTGTGTGGATAATTCAATATGATTTTATTACTATAGTTCCATTCTCTTGGTTATATTTATCTTAGCATGAGCCTTTCACACCAAGATTTCTATATTTTGTAACATAGGTGAAATATTTAAAACATCAAAAACTGTAAATCTAGATTTTTAAAAAATGCAACCACAATGTCTTTTCCTTTGATTGAGATGATTTGTGTAAACTCACCAATCTTGCTTTGGAGTGAGCAGAAGAGAATGACTGTGTTACGTGGAGCATCACCGTGTGACTGTTGACCTGAACAGTCCCAAGGGCTATGCAGATGGACTCCATTGGCACACGGAGGTCAGAATGGTTTGACCTCTTCCCTGCTATTATCCCTCCTCCCAACTGTACAGCTTTGTTTGTTGTAGTTTATGTACTTCTTGATACTGTCAAAAAATTATCTGGAAATGGTTTTATTTTGTGAAGTGAACAATACTTTGTAATTTATGATAGTGTAAATGGAAGGCAAAGCATCACATGTATTAAATTCTTCTGTCTATTATTCTGGAGTATGTGCAAGAAAGTGGTTTGGAGGGGTGGGGTGGTGGATCGTCAAAACATTGTTTCCAGATAGTTGTTGGCAACAGATTTTCAGTCATCACTGAAACACAATGAGAAAACAGCATCCCATTGAGTCCCCACTCCTTCTGCAAGCTTCCTTCTAGAGAGCCTGCTTCAAGATTAAGGCTCTGAGGCTCCACATTCACTTTCTATAAGCCCCACTGCATGGATGCGTCATCATACAGAGCTGAACCGTTTAGGGCAAATCACCCTAGGCCACTTGGAGGGTAGCAGAACAAGAATTTTAAAGTCACAAAGCCCTGAGCTTGATCCCAGATCTGTCCATTTAGTACTACCTGCATATAACCATGGGTAATTTGCGGCCCTGAAAAACTGAGGATGATATTCTGATTGTGACATCTTAAATGAAATTTATGTTCTAGGGTAATTAGTAATAGTTATTTCTCATTATTACCATTTTAGAAGGGGAAAGGATATAACATGGAAGCAGGGATGGAAGAAGCATAAGCAAAGGATTTGTCACAGGTTCAATCCAAGTCCAAATAGCACTAAAGGATATAACAGGGCTCCATAATGGGTAATGAGGTTCACTTGACTCCTTTTCTCAAATGTGATTTCAACACTTGATCCCCTCTTCCTTTAGTCTGAAGCCAGCTCACCCACACCTGTCTTCCCCACCATCTGGCAGCCTGACGTGGCTCCCCTTACCTGGCTTGAAATTCCTGCTATTGGAATAACTCTGGTAGTTAGACCATCACAAAGGCAGCACTGTTTCCAGAAACCCACTGTTAAATTGTCAACAATTAAGTTGTGGGAAGTAGAACAGGAGCAGTGTTGGTGGGAGAATGCAGTGGTAAGGATGGGAGGAGACCCCTTTTTCTTTCTTCCATTGCCATAAATGGGCATTCCCGATGACCTGATCTCCACAGCTTGGAGGGGCTGCTGCAGATGTCAAGGATAACAGCCTAGAAGGGAAGAGAGAGAGGAAGAGAGAAGGTTAAGGGAAGGACAGTGAAGAAAGCATCAGAAAGAAACATACCATATAGATGAAGGATTGCCTGGGCTGTCCTGGCTCCTATGAAAACCCAACTCAGCTTATACATTCCCAAGTTTATCAATCTCGTGTATAATCAGTCTTTCATTTTAAAAATGTAACATTAACTTTTAACCAGTATTTATCAAGCATTTATTAATGAGCCAGACACTGAATATTTGGAGGCGAGGAAAAGGCTTATTGCACTGGAAGAATTAAACAATAAAGTTAGTCCGGCTAGAGAGAGGAAACTGATCATATTAAAGGTTTTGGACTCCAAGGGGAATGGGTACTACATATTTGTCTCCAGGCAGAGAACATAGGAGGTGCTAGCCATAAGGGCCATTTCCAAGGTCGGTGCTGTCTTTCTCTCTACCATCCTAAGCTTATTGTTATTTCCCCTTGGGTTTTGGCTCACATAGTTATAAGGAGGCTACAAAGACCACCAAGTCAATGCCTTTCTCTTGTGTGTCCCATTAACAGTGAGGAAAACTTTCCTAGGAGTCCTGTGTATGGTAGACAGCGACACCTGACAGCAATTACTTAAGCATACCCTGAGAATGATGCTGTGTGGCAGACGCACCTGAATGTGTATTTGGACTTCCGAGGAACTGGAAGTGGCAAACCTGGAGATTACTTTCTCATCTATGAGGAACATCTGAGCCCCCGCCCGGTCCTATGGATCAAGACCCTTTGAGTTCAATGAAGGTTGCCAACTGGAGGTTGTTAGGGGAAGGGTGCTAAGTGAAAAAGCTCTATAAACTGCATGCTTTTTACAAGCAGCAGCGGTTCTCCGGCCCAGCCTACCACCGCTAGAACATGTGGTCCTCCTGTCCAGCCTGCTGCCACTGGACCGCTCTGTATATAAGTTTCCTACTAAAAGCACTCTGTCTTGTTTACTGGCTCTGGGTCTTTGCTTTGGCCTCTTGAACCTGGTGCCATCCCTACTGAAGTTAATAGGGGTCCTGAATGACATTCCCCAACATACAATCCCTTATATTGGCCAGAATTGCATTGCATGCATGTGACTAAACCAGTCACTAGCAAGGGGAATGAGATCACTAGGATGAGTTTAGAACAGTGGTTCACAACGTGAGATCCCTTGATCAGCAACAGCATGAACTGGGACTTGTTAAAAAGGCAAATTCTCTTGCCTGACTCACTGAATCCAGGGGAAGGATTCTGCGATCTTTTTCTTTTCTTTCTTTCTTTCTTTTTTTTTTTTTATTAAACAAGTCCTTCAGGTAATTCCATTGATTGAGCAATCAGGACTTACACCTGACGTGGGGTTGGATCCAACTTACTCAAGGTGTTTGGATACCTGAAATGAACCAGGACTCATTAGCAAAGAAAGGGGCTTTGCAGCACTGTGAAGGTTGTTCAAATTCTCAGAAGTGGTAGAGAACTTTCCCCACCCCTACACTCCTCCCTTCATAACCAAGATCTCCATGGGTCCCACTCCTATAACCATATTATCAACTCCATCTCTAATGTAACACTGTCTAAACTATAAGCTTCATGAGGACTGGAATCCCATCTGCTTTGCTCACCATCCTATCCAACCCTTACCCAGCACTGTGCTAGCACACAGTAGCCAACCCCGAACTTTTATAAATTAATGGCTTGTTCCTTCTACAAACACTGCACTCAAATGTCCCATTTTTGTGTGGTAGTGGAGGGGAGTAATTTGAGAAGCAGATTCTGAAAATGCACACTAACTCTTGTCCGTCATTTGGAGCTGTGGCTAACATCTGAACTCTGGTTATTGAAGCTTTCTCCTTGAACAGGGGCTTTTCCTTAGGAAACAGACCTCCTTAACTCACTCTTCAGCATGTTCTTTCTCCTTTTCCCCAGAAGGAATGATTAAGCTTCAAAATAACTCAGTTTGAAGAATCTGAAGATCTAAGTCACTAGTTCAGTTGCAGGTTACACAGATAATGGTAGATTTGGCTAGAATCTAGTGCAATGTAGACACGAGGAGGTCTGGTGCTGGGTCCAGACAGCCTCCTGTTAAATCGTAGCTCCATCTCTTTCTAATAGTGTGACTTATGGAAAGTTAATTTACTTTTTAAGTCTCAGTTTTCTTGTCATTAAAATGAACTAATACCAGTTCCTATTTCATGGAGGCTTAAGGTACTCTGTGGACAACACTCAGCATATTTGGAGAACAAAGTAGGTAAGCAAATGCTTTTCTAAAATACACAACAGCTTGGGGAAATGTTTGAGAATGCTTAACCATTAGTATCCCTTCTTCACAGTGATAAGGCACCATCACTTATGGCTGTCTAGCAAATGAGAGAGTTTCATGAATGGTAACTATTACTACCCAATGAACTTTGGAAGTGAAGCCACACCTGTCCCATGCAGAGTGATATGGTGGAAAGAGTTGAGACGTTAACCACAGCTCCAAACAATGGACAACAGTTACTGTGCAGAAAGTACATGCTGAAGGGTGAGTTAAGGAGGCCTAGTTCCAAATGTTAATAGCCTTGATCTGTGACTGAGCCAGGTCTTGTGGCTCTAAATCCAGTGTTCCTGTGGATGCATATCAAGTGTTCCTGTGGAGCACTGGATTTAGAGCCACAAGACCTCGCTCAGTCACAGATCAAGACACTGGATTTAGAGACACAAGACCTGGCTCAGTCACAGATCAAGGCCCCACTCACCAACCTCACAGGTCTATCACTGAGGCCAGATGACATGCAGCAGGTATGGAGGCTCCTTCACACACCCTCACACCCCTCGGTACAACCTGTCCCTCATCCTCTGCTCAGGCTCCTCTGCCCAAACATACAAGTCCCTGATGCATCCTCCAAGGCTGCTTCTCACCCTACTTTCTCCCTAGCCAATCACATTCACTCTGGCTTTGAATGCTATCTGTCAACAAATCCAAATTATCCTTAAGATTCAGTTTGCTACCTAATGCCCTGTAACAAATCCCTTCTGCTTAAACCAGCTAGCATGTGATCTATTGCTCATGGCCAAGGTCCCTGATGAACATGCCAATCACTCTGCCATTCAGCTCTTTAAAATCTTCACATCTGTCATACTTGCATGGCATTAAAACAATTTTAAAAATCAGAATAAAGGACTTGCCTATTTATTCTTCCTCATTCCTTGGCACTTTTTATATTCTTACTGTGTATGTTCAATCTATGCCATGTTTTATAGAAATGGTATCATACTCTATATTAACATTCTACAACTTTTTAATTCTCCCTATGTTTTTGAAATGTGTCCATGTTGACACTCATAGACCTACTTCATTCATTTTAGCTGTTCTAAAATATTTTACTAGGTAATTTATCCCTCTGCTACTAGTAGGTATTCAGTTTCCTTCTTTTCTATTGAAAACAGCATTTCCATGAATGTTTTTGTTAAAGTCTGCATGTGCCAGATTGGAATTGCTAGACTGTGAGGGATGCATATCAAGAGCTTTGCTAGATGCTCCCCAAAGTGACTGTGCCAATTTATACTCTCTCTCATCAGCAGTGTTTGAGAGTTCCTGTCTCTTTGTATCCTTATGAACACTTGGCATTACCCGACTTAAATATTTTGCTACTCTGTTGGTATAAAATGACATCTTTTGGTTTTAATTTGCATTTCTTTGCTTACCACTGAAGTTGAGCATCTTTTCTGGTTTAATGGCCACTTAATTGTCTCTTCTATGAACTGGCCATTCATAACTTTTACCATTTCTCTATTGAGTTTTTTCTCTACATCTACTGATTTGTTGGAGTTCTTTATAAATTCCAAGCTGTTTCTTGATCAATCATGTGCATCATATATCTTCTCCCAATATAAAGGATCAATTGTTTTTTATAGTTTATGCTTTATGTTTCTTATCCTGACCCTTAAATCATAAAGGTATTTTTTATATTTTTTGTAAAAATATTCAAATTATGCTTTTCACATTGATGTCTGAAATTTTAGTGCAAGGTAGGAGT